TCAATATGTTGCAGAGAAAATGCAAGCGAAGGGGAGTGCAGAGGAAAAATTTATCTGAAGCTTTTTCCAGTAAGTGGTGCCATGGTATTCTGAAGTGGGTATCTCCATCCCACTCACTAGTTAAAAAGGTTGCAATGGCTGTTTGTTTTTTCTCAGCCATTCACCTCAGCAGTACCAATGGCCAGCAAGCTAACTTTGTGCACATTGGACTCAGATGCCTTTTCTCAGACTAGTCACAAAGGGAAGAGGAAAAATTGTTCCTGGGTGAGGGAGAAGATCAGCATCCAAACTTCAAATCCACCAGACCATTTAAAAAGTAGAATTTCTACAATTATTCAGGAAATATATAAACATTATATGCTACCTATATCCAAGAATCTGATCTACCAACCGTCAAGTCAAATTGGCACTAGATAAGATACAAAAGAACTTAAGTTCACTGGATTTAAGTCTCTAAGCTTAAAGATTCTAAACTACTGATGCATTTGACCCGGCCTTCAGGCTCCCCCTAGTTATATCCTACACTTTGTAAGGCAATATAGCTCTTCTACCTGAGGTGAAGCCTCCTTTGACTGGAGGTGATGGTGGTAGTGTTCACATAAGTGGCCTGTAGAAATAGTTCATAGTAAAAATTAACCTTCCAACAGACTCCCACCACCATAGCCAGCTCTTGTATATCCCATTTTAGAATGCCCTGGCTCTATTACCATAGGACATTGGTGTGCGGGACATTTCATTAAGGTCTTTTTTATACAGTGGAGATAATCCATCCAGCACTGTTAAAAAAATGGGAGGCAATGATGGATGGCATCAGTATTTGCAATTTATGGGGACTAATTGTATCTTTCTGAATTCCTACCTTATCAAATGCTATTTTGCTTTACGACTTGCCGTTCCAAAGCTGGGCAAGGGGGCAATTATCTCTCACAGAAACTGACAACATTTTTGAAAAAGGACCTTCATACTAAATTCAGCAACTATTCTTGATTAAAGAAAATATGTTTCCTTATTGTAAAAACAATCAGATTTAAAAGGAAACTAAACATTTCTGAAGTTCTTTTCAAGTAGCATAAAGACATTGCGTGTACTTTGGCTAAATTGCTTCTGTATTTTATTCTAACTGAACTTATTTGTTCGGTTCTGGCTTTTCTTTTTTCCAGGAATTTAAGGTGGCATTCTTAGACCTCAACCAGTGGCAGCATCTGCCCAACCTTGCTGGGTTTGGAAATTAGAATGGGGCCTACACCACCAGAGCTGGGAAGTTTTTTTCCAATTAAAAATCTTGGACAAAGGTTATAGCCAAGACATTTTATGGATATGTTCATATAGTTACCAGGGTATCCTTAACTTTTTACATGTTTGTCTCTGTGAAAGAAAGACTGCACCTCAGTCAGTTCATGATTGAAAAGTAGTTAAATATAGATCCTATACTAATTCTTTAATCATTACACATTATTTACTCTTGATAGATAGGTAGAATGTGGTTGTGTAATTTATCAGTTCTCTAGACTAGCCAACTTCACAATGATATTGGATGGCTTCACATTTTTTAAAACGCAAACACAAAACAAAACGAAACAAAACAAAACATCAAAACAACAATTGTCTAAGGGAATAATCAACTAAACTTCAACATTATTCTTAACTTAAAGGATTAGTTTGCTATGGTATAAGTGGTATAAGTTTGAATGGCTTATAATTTATTGTGAATATGGCTTTAAAAAAATTCCAATAAAGTATGTACAGTAGTATTGTAAATAGTATAAGGACACTTATATTTAAATATATTTTCCCTGTATGCTGTCAGGTTCCGACCGATACCCTAATTAAATCATGAGCCTAGAGCCAAGCTTCAAAAGAAATCCAGTTATTTATTAGGAGCATCGTGTCCTCACGTTCCAAGTGAAGCCAACTCTGACCCCACTTAATTTACGTTCCAGCTCTGACCCTGTTTCCCCCCTCCCCCCAAGGTGTGTCATCAGTTACATTCTCCAATGAAGTAGTTTTGCGGATTGTAGAGATCACTCCCTCTGGCCACTGTGGGTAACTGTGGAGACAGTCTTGACAGAGATATGGCTGGAATACAATTTTGTTTTGACTGACATGCTGCCTCGCCACAGCTGCAGAGTTCGTTTTCCCATTCCCTTTGGCAACTCGAGAGCAGGCCAGGGATGCTTTGCGAGTTGACACATACATTACAACACAAAGCAGCACAGATTTAAATGCTTTATTTTATTGAATGCATCTGCTTTTGAAATATATAGTCAGGAATTTTAATAAAACAGAATTCTAGAATATCTTAGGCGGGAGAGTGTCTTCAAGCCAGTGTTGACCCCTGGAGATATCTGGAGAAGTCCTTCCAGTTTTCTTGAAAAGATTTCGAAAGTGGTTTGCCTTGCATCTTTCCTAGGACTGAAAGAGAATAACTGGTACAAAGTATTCAGCTGAGTTCAGCACTAAGGCAATATTAGAATTCATGATCTCCTGACTTCTAGCCCAGCACCTTTAACCACTATACCAAAGTGGCTGTTCAGAAGATCTTATTCTTTCTTTCTTTCTTTTTTTTTTAAAAGCAAAATGTTATCTAATTAGGTGTCTAGACATTAGCCTTTAGGGTTACAAACACATGCACAGGGCAACTTAGGTAAACAAGAACTTCGTAATTTTTAAAATCGCTTTTTAAATAATGGAATGTATCTGGATGTATGATCACTGCAAGCTCAGAGATGTTCCTCACAACTATGCAGTAAAATCTTAGGCTGCCTAGACCCATCTAATATTAACTACCATAACGAAGTATGGTGAAGAGATGCAAAATCATGGCTTAAAATGGATTTGCAAATTGTGCCTTGTAATCAAAATTATATTACACCTTTCTTCTTAGTGGGGGTGGTGGAAACATTTTTTAGCAGGTTCCTTGTCCTTGAAGGTGTTCTGCATGGTTGACAAGAGGTATTCTTATTACCGGCTTCCTATACTAATTTCATTCAACTTTATAAAAGTCACTTCTTTAAATTTTATTTACAATTTACTTAAATTTTAATCAAGCGGCTGAAATTTTACAAAATTAACAAATGTTAAATTGCTTTGCATTTTAATTAATTCTGTGGGTACAATCTAGTGGCTTATCCAACTCATGCAATAAACGATAAATACTTACCATGGACAGATATGCCTGCAACAAGGTATTGAGCAAAAAAGTGGGTTTGATATGAACCTCAACATTTCATAATGCTTTTTATTAAATTAATACATTACTTTAACAGAACAATAGAATAACAGAGTTGGAAGGGACCTTGAAGGTCTTCTAGTCCAACCCCCTGCTCTAGTCCAACCCCCCCTACTTTGATTATGGTCAGGCTTTATTAATAAGATCTAAATGTGTAAAAACTTCTAGCGATAAAACAAGTGCTACATTTGTTGATTTGAGAACTAATATCAGAGAAGGAATATTGCATATTTCTGTTACCATTGGGTGTTGGAAGTGTAGAAGTTGTATCATCTTTATACACCTTTATATACCATTGTTATATACTTTGGCATCAGTGGTGGGTTTCAAATTTTTTTACTACCGGTTCTGTGGGCATGGCTTGGTGGGCGTGGCATGGTTTGGTGGGCGTGGCTTGGTGGCCGTGGCCGGGGAAGGTTACTGTAAAATCTCCATTTCTTCCGGATCAGCTGGGACCTGGGAGGCAGAGAATAGATGGGGGCGGGGCCAGTCTGAATTTTTACTACCGGTTCTCCAAGCTACTCAAAACTTCTGCTACCAGTTCTCCAGAACTGGTCAGAACCTGCTGACACCCACCTCTGTTTGGCATGCCCATGAGCTTCCAAACCCTTTAAAGCTTCACAACTCTAAAAACACTTAAGAATATAGAGTTCCTTGCAAAGCCTATCCTGCTTCCTTCAATCTTAGGTGCATTATAGAGAAAGCTCGATCTCATCATGGAAACTCCTACAGTTCAGCCCCTGTGCTGTATCAGCACCCAAAGGTTCAATGCGTGAAGAAATTCCATTCCTCATCTCTTTCTGATTCCACTTCAGGCAAAATATGCCAGAAATCCATTACAATAGCCGTGGTTTTTTTTAATTTATAGTTTACCCCCGCCCTAAAAACAACAGCACTTAAAGATAAAAGGCTCTCATTATAGTGCTAAATCTACTGCATTCTACATTGCTGAGAGATAATTACTTTCTCAAGGCTACTCAGTGAATTCTATAATCCTGTCCTTTCACTAAAATAGGAGGAATGGCTGCCTTTTTTGACCTCGAGACCTCCAGATGTAAATGCCCAGAAAAACATCTTGCATAATTCCTTGCCCTGGAGGGCACCAGGGTGGGGACAATTGGCTCTAGAAGCAGATTCCTGTTTACTACGTGAAGAGGAGACCTATCTCCTTTCAGAATGAAAATGGCAGGTCCTGACTATGGAATTCCTTCCCTGAATACACCAAAGTGAATGAGAAATACCAACCTGTGTGGGTTTCACTGAAATTGCTGTGCCCGTTGCGGTGTTTCCATTGTCTCCATTGTGAACTTGTTTTGAGTTTTGTCATTTCGTATGTTGTTATTGGTGTGTTTTATTTTTCTTTGGAATTATTGTTTTAATTCAGCCAATTAGATTGCTCCTCCAGCCAAGTGAGGGTGGTGATAGTGACTGAAAGCATGCATCATAGTTAGCTATGGCTTGTTGTAACAACAATTTGTTGAAAAAGCCACAGTCACTGGCCACGGGTTTTAGAAACCACAATGGCTGGTTCATGCAGCATGTTAAGGTCAAACTATTTATAGTTTAGCATGATGGGTGAACTCAGCAGTTGTATTGTGTTTAGATAGAGGATAAACATTTGACAATCCTGATTGCTGTGTCAAACTGGTATGCCTAGTGATGTCTAGATAATTGGGGAAAGTTGTTCTGTTATGGTCTGAGCCTTCTCACAAATGTAAGTTCGAAAGGGTATTTGATGTTTGAATTTTAACTGCGCTCACCTTTCATTCAGAAGTTGGTGTTGTTTTTGAAGAAACGGAGGCCTGCGACTGGTGGAGTTTGGGTGCCCTTCTCTTTGAACTCCTTACTGGAACGGTAGGGTCTACCTTTAAAGAAAAAAATATGCCATGTCCTGAATCCTACAGAAAATTAGGGAATTAGTTCTAGATTGTAAATATCCAAAGGCAGCTAAGAGATACAGAAAAACTAATGTTTTGCTCCCATCTAGTGGACATCAGGATTTTTGTCGCCTAGAGAGCTTAGTAATATCATACTATAGAGCCGTGATGGTGAACCTATGGCACTCGTGCTAGAAGTGGCACGCAGAACCATCTCTCCGGGCATGCCAGCCATCGAACGTTGTTCTTCCGGATTCCGGCATGCCAGCCAGCTGGTCTTCACACATGCGGGAGCGCTGGAAACCGGAAGAACAGCTGCCCAGTGTGTATGCATGTGCCGGGAAGATGATCTACTGGTTTCTGGCACGCACATGTGCACCAGCCAGCTGGTCTTCATGCATGCATGCATGCCAGAAACCAGAAGACCAGGTGGTCAGTGTGCATGCTCACACTGGAGACCAGAAGATCATCTTCCCGGTGTGCACATGCGCACCAGGCGGCTGCTCTTCTAGTTTCCAGCACACATGCACGCTCCCGTTTCAGCACTCGGTGCCGAAAAGGTTCGCCAACACTGCTATAGAGTAACAAAAATATAAGATAGAAACTTTCATATTGAAAGAAAAAAACTTCGGAACAATTGAAGATACTACCTTTTAATTTAATTTAATTAATTTCATTTCATTTCATTAATTTAATTTAATTTAATTTAATTTAATTTAATTTAATTTAATTTAATTTAATTTAATTTAATTTAATTTAATTTAATTTAATTTAATTTAATTTAATTTTTTAATTTAATTTAATTTAATTTATTTAATTAATTTAATTTAATTTAATTTAATTTAATTTAATTTAATTTAATTTATCACATTTCTATGCCGCCCAACTCCCAAGGGACTCTGGACGGCTTACAACTAAAGTAATGCGACAATGAACATAGAAAATTATTAAAAACATTATGAAAACATTTTAAAAACATTAAAAGCCCATGCATACCATTCATGGCTGGATCTCACAGGATTGCAACAGCGAGATCAACGGTCCCAGGCCTGCCGGAATCTGTGTATTTATTGCCCGCCTTTATTATTTTTACAAATAACTAAATGCAATGAGTTATTTGTAAAACACCTTTCTTCTCCTATTTTGCTCACAATAACAATTCTATGAGGTGGGTTGGGCTGAGAGAGTGATTGGCCCAAAGTTACCCAGCTAGCTTTCATGGCTAAGGCGGGACTTGAATTCATGGTCTCCCACGTTCTGGTGCCTTAACTACTAGACCAAACTGGCACCCAACAGCATACATCATTTGTTGAATAAACCACAGATGGTCAGGTACTTACAATATGATAAGCCATAAACAATAGCCTATACCACATTACTAGTTCACACAGTGTTTCAAACTGAAACTGAACATCTTATGACTTAGCATGGTGATTAACCCAGACACTGAATATGCATTTTTCTTACAAGGAAAAAAAACCTAGTGCTGTCAATAGGGCATGCTGTTGGGATTTAGAGTACATAATGTGTTTCTGGGGACAAAACAATAGATGGTAAAGAAGTATTCCCTTTGAAATGTAACACTGAGGAACAAGAAGTAATTAACAACAAATGCAAGTTGCTGGGGTACACCGTGGAAGTGAATTCATGAAAAAGATGTATCTTATTTCATTGTTCCTCATTTGAAAGAACAGATATTTAACCTTTTTGTATTTGGCCCATCATTATAGATCTTCAGGAAGATAAACTAAGATGCAAAGGGAATTTTTTTAAACAACAATTATTTGGAATACTTGTTTGGTTCAACCTAGGACCACATTTTTTTGTTCAACAAATCAATTCCCCCCCCCCCCCCCAAATTTCACTTCCCTTCCTCCAGCCAGGTGAAAGAGTTAAATTATGTAGGAAGAAGGCATGTCTTTTTGTTGGAAGGAGGGGCTCATTGGCTTCTTCCCCTTTGCTTCTTCTGAAAGAAAATGATGTTTCGTAAAGCAGTGTTCCCCAGCCTCTGGACCATAGCCTATTAGTGGGCTGTGAGCTATTTGCAACCTGACTGTGGAAATGGAGGGTGAGCGCACGTGCATCCCTACTTGCATGAGTGGCGGGCACACATGCACGCCGCTTATGCAAATGGAGCTGCACAACAGTGCACATGCATGCGTGCGCTTGCCAGCTGCTTGTGCAGAACCAACCCCTCCTCCCTGCCAGTTGCAAAGGTTGGGGTACTCTGCCCTAAAGCAGGGGTGTCCAACCTTGGCAACTTTAAGATGTGTGGACTTCAACTCCCAGAATTCCCCAGCCAGCCATGGGAGTTGAAGTCCACAAGTCTTCAAGGTGCCAAGATTGGATACCCCTGTCCTAACATGTTTCTGAATTATTTCCTCTTGGTAGCCTTGGTGTATGTTGAAATACAATTTCCACTATCCCTGAAGTTGATGAGAATTAGGGTGGGTTATGCCATATAAAAGAACATAATTAGGCTGGGTAACCTGCCTGAGAAATGGAGCGAAGGTTTGTACCTCCTTGATCCTTGTGCCCCCATTCACATTTTCAGAACACCTTTAGGAACAACCTATCAGCTTGTTTTCCAGATTTTTTTTGCAGTGGAAATGGATAGTATGTGTATGCACAATGCAAAATAACTCCACTTACAATTTTTGGTGAGGAGATACCCACTGTAATTGCTTTGTGTTTTAATGAGATTTTTTGTTCCATTATTGTTAGGGATTTTCACAGAGGTCACAATTACCTGTCTGAATCCATATACCTTAGCTTGCACCTCCATTTTTTTTTCATCTCACAACAGGAATGAGATTTTAGGCATGCATAATGAATATTCAAAAGGTGAAGCTTCCAAAACAATGCAAGCCTGCACTGTTCTGTTCTGCTGATAATCAGTTCTATTACACCTGATTAACTAGATCAACTAATTGAACTACAAGCTCCTTCATTTCCAGTCAGAATATCAATCACTTTCTGATTAAGAGTTATGGACATATTGGCATAAATTGAGGAAGATTACTTTAAGTTGGTGAATATAGTAACATGCATTGCCATTCTTTATCATAACATGAACTTTAATATGATGCATTTCTTGTTGGTTTGCCATAGACTCTCTTGGAGTGCCACCCAGCAGGAATAAATACTCATACCTGTTTAAACTTGCCAGATCACATTTCAGAAGAAGCCAGATCACTCCTTCAACAGGTAAATTCTTGATGAATGTGTATAAATGTTGTCCTCCTTGCTACGGTTAAAGTCAGACTAACGTATGCTATATATTTTACTGAACATATCAAAAATGTTCCGTTTATTATATTACAAAAATGTAATAAATGGATTTTTTTTCATTCAGTGGAAATGACAGCCTCTTATCACCTTACAGTGTTAATAAAATTAGCTTTGTTCTTTTCATACTTGATGTTGTAAAGCGTTTCCTATCTTTCCTATTTATCTTTAGAAGCTTTTATAAAAGATTTGGGAGTAATTCAATGTCTGAAAATGTACTAATAGGATTGTGGTTTATCTTAGTATCCCCAATAGCTACATCTTCTTAGCAGTAAAATTCTGTGTAATATAAAGAAACTAAACTATTAATGTGTAGGGTAGAAAAGTCCAACAGTTATACCATTATAGAAAATAGGAGCCATTTTTGTCAGGAAAACGTGAATTAACACTAAATTAATTATTTAATTTTGGAAAGGAGGAAAGGAATGATAGAGAAGTATAAAAGACCTATTTACCTATTGTCACCAAATACAGCTAGGGCACAAAATTGCTGCAGAAATCCATTGATTTAATTATTTCTCCTGACATAGACGATTTGGGAGTAAAGGTACATTTTTAATATTAAAGTGAGCATAATCTTTTAGGATTTAGAAACATGCTAAAACGTGGTTATTTTAACAAACTTTGACGATGGAGCCAAGCTGATTTAGATCTGTCCTGTTGTATGAATATTATGGTTCTTATGTTTCGATCAGATCTAGTTTTTAAACATTGTTAAAACTGTGGTTATTTTTATTGTTTTAATCTACTTATGTAGACAGGATTATAAACCTTTATAGTCAGTATTCGGTGGGAGTAGTAGAAAAGTCTCCTAAAATAAGTAAATAAGAATAAAAGTATACATGTACTATTAAGATCAATGACTTCATCTAGTTTTTAGACTCGTAGAATAGAGGATATTTTATATTCCACCCCAGAAAGGAGACTGAAAATGAATGGAATTTTACCACTGGCATCTTTCGGAGTTTATTAAAGCAATACATAGCAACATGTAGCATTTTATGCCAGACCCTTTGTTATTTTCCCTCCTCCCCCAGGTTCAAGGTTACCCTTGTCCAAAAGGAAGTGTTTCATCTCTGGGCTGCATGTGGCTGACTTTACAGTTGAAGAGTCTGCTCCATTGGCTAGTAAATCAACTTTCTTTTGTGTGTCTTTCTAAGGAAACTACCATTCATTTTTGAGGAAGCTTTGTCAGGAAAAGGAAAAAGGGACTCTTGGCATAGCTAGTCATTTGTCATTATGATTTTCCTCTTCCACCCCCCTCACAGGTTGCTTGGGTCAGCCCATCACAGAATGTCTAGGAGAGGAACAGTGTGCAGATACATGCCAAATGTGTCCCATGACATGGATTTCAAAATCCGTGACCTCACTGAAAAAATAACACCCCACCCCGATCTAGCCAGCTAGGAGCTACGTACTTCAGAGGCATTATTCCTTATTTTGATTACCTGAAGATATAGATGGAATTCTTAAGGCTCTCTTAATTGACATCAAATTTCTCGAAAGCTGTCCCAGTTAGCATAATAACCAGTCTCTTTTTGAACAATGCAGCTTTAATGCAGTTTATTTTGCATTTCCTTTCTCATATTAAAAGTTTTTTTTTTCTTGTAACAGGGAAAACCTTCAGAACATAAATGTCTTTGTACTTAACTTTTCCACCTGGTATCAGCTGTTATATTTTCCAGAAGACGGCCGAGTGGCTGTTTTCTGACTGCTTATCTACTAACTCATGTATATTCACAAAGAAGGCTTGTTTTGTTATCTGAGTTATTTTACTAAGTGAGGTTAGAGCAGTTTTAAGTGGCAGAGCCAACTTAAGATGTGCAAATGAATACATTTTATGGGTAAATTTCTCACTTTGATTATTAGATGTATGCATATGAAGGCATGCGCCCCAAATAATACCAAAGACAACTGCATTATGCTATAGTTCCCTTTAAAGGAAACTTAGAAATGAAATTATTCTTTTGAACTGCTTATTTAAAATGTGACAGACTCATAAGAAGGAAGAAATGTAAACTTCAGTTCCTTTATCCTTTGTAAATATTTTTATGCTTTGCTGGTTACTTCCTTTCAAACATTTTCCATCAGAAGTTGCAGATAAGAAGAGTTCACTTCACTTTCTATGTATATATTCACTTCCCTTTTGACTTTATTGTGGATTTTTTTAAAAAAAAACCTACTTAGTATTATTACTACTAGCAATCAATCGTACCATTTCTTTACATTTCATTTGTGAGTCTTTAGCTGCCAAAGCTCCTTGGGCCTTTTTGAAGACTTTTTTAGATAAATATTTTAATTGTCTGAAAAGCATCAGTTCCTCTTAGTTTCCTCTGTCTGATCTGATCACATTGGTTTCCATTGAAATCCCGTGCTGGGGCTACCCATCAAGTAGTATTTTTATCTTTTTCCATATGATTTAAACAAATACATTTTGCATGTAGTGCAAATAGGGATACATTCTGTGATATACCTTCATTGTGCATCTGTGTATCTTTGAGACTCCTAGCAACTGCCTGGACTTAGTCCCTCAATTTTCTTGGCAAGATTTCAGAAGTGTTTTGCCATTGCCTCCTTCCTAGGGCTGAGAGAGAACGACTGGCCCAAGGACACCTAGATGGCTTTGAGTTTAAAATCTACCTGGTTTCTAGCCTGATGTCTTAAAGCCTGGCTGTCTCACACACCTTCATTAAAATCAGGTAAAAGGAAATTTAGTTTTCATCCAAACGAAGTGGAGACAGTCCATCTTTTTCCCTTGCATTTCTTGTAGGTTGATAAATATAAGAGGCAGTATAAAAGATAATACTCTAAAAATGACAACAAGGTTTTTAATACCACAGGTACTTGCTGACATACTCTTTTTCTTCCTCTTAATCTGTATTTATGAAACAATAAGTGGAATGTTCAGGATTATTTCAGAAACAACTAAGGCTTAAAGGAGGCAATATTTGATAGCTTGAAACAAAATTACTGATAGTTAATTGCCATTAATAAGTCTTACATATAATATAATAGGTTCTTGTTGTAGATAATCATTCAGATAAAAATACATATATACTCAAGCACTGGTTTTGTCAGCAGCAAGATAGTCTTCTGGAAACAGAACAGAATAGAATCAAATTTAGTGTTATGGGAGAAGCTGGCAAAAGAAGACCAAGTTTGAAACAGGCTAGAAGCAGTAGAGGAAAAAAAAAGCAGAAGAAACTCTCATATATATATCCATATGGGAGAGGTCATGGACAACAGCTTGAAATCCTGCTTTTCTCACTCCACCTTCCTCCTCCTTCATCATTTTATTCAGAGCAGAACCTATGCAGTTCACTCTGTGCTTCCTGGTGCACATACACAGAGATGCAACACGAAGAAGAGGATAAACGTACACTTAAATAAATGCAACATGTTACTTATAAAATTAAATACAGATGCCCCCTATGTCTATTTTTGGTAAAGAAAAGAATTCCAGAAGCCATGCTCTATCTTCCTCACTACATTTACATAACAGCCAATATTTTATCTGAAATACTTTAATTCTGCCCGCTTTAATGAGCTGTGACAAGTAAAGTTTTCATATTTCAATTTTATTACATATTTACTCAGATAAATTTCTAGGGTTCTAATTAAAAACTTGTGTATTCTCCATTAACTTAAACACATTATATTTCAGTAGTCTAGGCCTTATAAGCAAAGTGCAAAGATCCAGTACAGCTTAAGTTTCACATGTAATCAGGTTTAGTAAATACGACAGGAAAGCTACAAGAATAAAGTTACTGGTCTACTTAAATATACTGTATAATAGATGACCAGGTATAATTATGTTTAGAGATTGGGATAACATGCAGATATTGTAAAATTAATGTCAGTCAGTATAGGTAGTCCTTGATTTATAACCATTGGTTTAATGACAAAATTACGATGGCCTTGTGGAAAAGGACTTTTGACCTGTACTTCTACTTATGGTGATTGCGCCAGCCCCATAGTCATCACAATTTGGGTGCTTGGCAGTTGGCTCACATTTATGATTGGTTGCAGCATCCTGCAGTCACATGATCACAATTTGCAACCTAGGCAGTTGCTCAGGGCACGTGAGAATAGCAAGGATATGGCCAGTCCTTTCTTGTCAAATCATCTTGCAGATTTGTTATACTATTTAGAGAAGTCTATGGAATATTCTTTATTGCCAATTAAACATACACACAGCTTCAGATAACAAATTCAAGATAAGTTGCAATTGTAAATCTTTCACCAAAATAACATGAAGCATATTGTAAACTCAAAAGTTTCTGTGTAGAAAATATTCACAAGAGCTTACAAAAGAGTCCAGAGAGATATCTCAAGTTCAGGAAGATTCAAATATAGTCTTTTTCTGGTCTAAAATAACAATTAATCCAACAACAACGTATAGTCAGAGTCACAGGTAGGAGATAAGGTTGCATCAAATAGCCATCTCTAGAAACTATCTTTCAATTTGACTAATAGTCAATGGTTCTTTCTTTCCAGCAGAACACTTGACTTGCTCTGCGGTCTCTTAATTTTCAACATGTTGCTGGGCTTGGGACTTTGACTATATTGTTAATCAGCTGACTTAGGGGTGTTCTCATCAGCTAATTCTTGTTGCAGGCTGAGGTTCAGATTGCAAAGTCTTCAGTTTATGAATCTGAAGATTCGTACTGATCAGATTATACTTAGGGTAGGTGACTCTTCAGAAGACATGCTTTATGAATCTGGAACTTTCTTACATCAACATATCCATCTTGACAGGTTAGGAAAGGGTTCAGTAAAGGGTAACCCTGACAAAATAGAATAACTGATAGTGTTTTGTATGAATATGATATGGACAAAAGAAAATTTGTGATTGGATGCTGATATTTTAAAGCATTTTTACAGATTTTTTTTTTTAAATATAAAAGGAACAATAACCTGTGATAGAAGAAGAGAATAGAATTTGTGTGGATTTCTCTACAGGAAAGAGCATTTACCTTCCTATAAAATTTATGCAGACATCCTCATTACTTCCTATATATAGTGGCTATCAGGGAGGTAATTGCCTTAAACTATGTTTCCTAGGTGAGGGGATTTGTATTTGTAGCAATACATAGGCTTTGTTGAGTTCTTTAGGAGAAGATTGCTCAGAGAGTGAAATAAATAAATCCAATTACATTTCAATAATAGAATCAGTTGCTTCAGTTTACTGCTTGACCTCTGCCAGATGTTTCAAAGACTGTTATTCATGTTTGTTGTACAATTCCGATAATTTACACTCGTCTATAGCATCGGCATTGCTTACCCTCACGTCAGCAAGGGAAATCAACCATCATATCAGGCTACACTTGGTACTTATTTATAAAAGCTCTAAAAAAGAATGAGTTTTGAAGAAATAGAAGTTAACAGTACAACATTTGTTTTTCAGTCTCAGATATTTAACCCAGATATTTAAGTTGATCAGTAGCATGGAAACCATTTCAATATGGTTGATCACATGCTGCTGTGTTCAGTCTGCATGCTCTCCACATAATGTCAGGTGATGTAATTAGCTCCAAGATTAGTAATTGTAGAATTCCTGTGGAAGATGGAAGAAAACATGTTCTAAAATATACCAAAATCATCCTCCTAATCCACATTTCCAAAGTAACGTGTAAAAACAGGTTCCAACAAACAAGCTGTTATATTGCAATAATAATGTAGTAATGATAAATTTCTTAGAGAAAAGAGGATGGCCAACTATATGGTAAAACTAGGGCTGTAACTATGAGAGGCCACTATCTTGATCTTTTCCCATTTTTTAATGTGCTAGTGTTTTTTAATAGCCATATGGAAAAAAAGTTAAGTTTATTATAAATATTATTGAAATGTAGGCATTAACTCCAGAGGATGCAATCCTCTATGCTGATGAGTTATAACCGGAAAAGCTTGGGTTGATTGGTGTGTTCTTTTCTTTTCAGCTTTTGCAATTCAATTCTGTAGAACGTCTTGGCGCTGGAATCGCTGGAGTTGACGACATCAAAGCACACCCTTTTTTTGCCACCATTGATTGGACCGAATTAGCTAAGTGAAAAACTGTACAAGTTGTCTATGCTTAGGCTGCAGACTTCCAACAGACAATACTCTTGGCTTGCTGCCATTATGAAGATTTTAGATGTTTCCAGACTAGGATGAATAAATTGGAAATTGGAATCCAAACACCACATGAAGTGCTAAAGCTTGATTGGACAAAAGAAAGGTGTGGTTCATACTGCTAGCGATTGACTTCAGTTCTTCTTTTGTGTTGGAATCATGTGCAGAGCTAATTGCAGGGCATTACAAACGGTTGCCATTGCATGTCATGTATTTCCTCCCCCCCTCCCCCCCATATTTTAAATCATGGGAATCTGGATGGAAAAGATTTGGCAACATTTTTGGCAGTAGCCCTTTGACTGAAGTTACATCTAGCTCTGGTGTTGGTGGGGAATTATGCAAATAAGAATGGACTCCTTGTATTTTGTTTTATTTTAAATGATGATGAGTTGTGGAATTTCTGTTGTACATTCCAGTATCTATTGTCTATGCCAGTTGAATAGAGCTCCTTTTTTTATACTTCGGTAGCCTTGGCACAGTTGAATTTAAGTAGATTGGAGAACAGGGAGAAAAATAACTTATCAATAACATATGCTAAATAAAATATTATGGTGCTTCTGCAAAACTTGACATTGAATATGTCTAATTTGGAGAGGGGGGATGGCAGGAGAATGAAAGCTAGTATCATGCAATGTAATTCCAAAATGGTTAAGTGTCATCTCTTAAAAAATGGAAAAATGTAATCTAGCTATTGCTATTTTGCGCTTGTTGGTTGCAATGTAATGTTTGTTTTAAAGCACTAATTTTAACCTCAAGTTTTAAATCACTACAAGTTCAAAAATCTCTCATCCAGATAATGATTACTTTAGTAATTTAAATGGATCAAGAAAATAGAATGCAGAAAAATGTATGGATGTATGGGTATATGGATATATGGAAAACTACCATTTATTGTATGGAAAATCATGCTTTCATATAACTCTAATATTTTTATGGTAGGCAGTTTTTTTTTTTTTTTGCTTACATAGAAAATGTTCAAGTTTGCAGAATTCCACTTACATGTGCATGTGTTTTTATTTGCCCATGTGAATTCTGAAAATGTTTTAGCTTCTCAATTTCGTTACAATTTTGTTTCTTTGTTTAGAAACATTATTTTATGTGTTTTATCATTGTGAATCCCTCCTAAGGAGGAGAGTCTTCAAACAACTGTTCTGAGAAAATTTGGGAGTTTTATATTAAAGTGCTCTATATTTGGAGAGAATATTTGGAAATCTTTCACAAGCACTGGTGCTTCACAATTGGAATTCCATTGTATATGCCATGAACAGGCCCAACTGAAAAGGGATGGATGAGATGTCTACATTGCTTGTGCTTTTAATGAATATTGTTTTCTTAATATATTTGCCAAGAAGCTGTGTCAGAAGACTGCTGACTTCTGATACAATTGGAATAATGGTGATTTGGCTGTTGGTTCCTAATCTGTTGATAATTTTGTCAAATGGAAACATAAACTCCAAAAATTGAGAATAAGACAACCTAAAGTTAATATGTACTTAAAATAAAGGCTCGCTCTTTTAAAAGGTCATTGTGTTAGTACATGTAAAAATCTTCTGTAATAACTACTTTAAAATGACTCATTAAGATATTATGCTCTAAACGCATATATTAAAATACCATACAAACATGTGCCTTGTTACTTCCTTAAATTCATCCTAACACTGGCAACCCTTCCCTCTATTTGCACCTGACACTATGCCTTTCCCACTTGTTATTGCTTGTGAACAGTCTACATGGCTCTGAAATACTTCCCAGGGAGCTTAACATAGGTTAACTCCCAAGAAATTTAAGGAAGACTGCTGTTTCAGGATTACAGGAGAAGGAGTAAAATTTTTATCTTCAACTGTAGAAATGAAGAACTTTTTACTTAAAATGAAGGCAAAGTTCCCAAAGTTTAAGAAGAGTTAAACCATTTCCAGGAATATTGATCAAGTTGGCAATTCCTGAATGGGACATATAACAAAAAGAATCAGATGATCTGAAAGTGATAAATACCAGTATTCTTTTATCTGTGTAAATGTACACAATCTGGTCAGTTATAGGGTGCCTGTACACTATTGTATAGTACAGTCTCTGGCCTGTTTGTTTCTCTTAGTTTTATCTGGAGACCAAAGGGTAAATTTCTTTGGTAAAGAAATATTTAGGTTTTTTTTTTTTTTTTAGTAATTCCTGCTATTCTTCCTAGTTCATGCTGGAAGCTAAGATTTTTACAGGCCATTCCCTATGTGCATCTGACAGGCTACATCTGTTGGAAGCTAGAACTGGTGCTACTATAAAGTGGGAAAAGGAAAAGACTTCATTGATCCAAAGGAAATCTGGAAGCTCTGTTTTGTTCCTTTTGAAATTATCCTGCTCCTGTTTTCCCCCACCCTCCACCCCTTGTGATAAAAACACAAACCACGGGACTGTAATAACACTGTAGGCTGTAACCAGGTCACCAAAAGAATTACTATTATGGAGGGCTATCTGATATTACATCATTCTCCAAAACTTCATTCGAACAAAACTCTTCCACTGCTACATAACAGGAACTCCCTCAGGTGAGCTGCGACAACAACTTCCTGTGCTGAGAGGTGAGGAAATTTCTGAAGCTGAGAGAAATGCAGAGCTTCCTTCCAGCAGTGGCCGTGTGATGGTTTTGGAAGAGAAGAAAACTTCCAGTTGTGACCATAAACCTTTAGCCATTCTTTATTGTTGGAGTTTTGAGTCTTTCTAGGACAGTCTTCTCTCCAGCAGAATGTTGGGAATTGCAGACCCAAAGCAAGTAGAAGGAGTAGCCTATTGGTATATATGTCCTTCTAGCAGAGATTTTTAAGATTACGTGTCAGTTCTGAAGCAGATAATTAACCATTTTTTTCCTTTCCCTGTAAAAAAAAAAAAGAATAAATGAATGAAAACAAATGACTAAGCAGAGGGGAGAATAGCACCATATCCAAAGATGTGCTATGTGCTGGGGAAATTGATGCCTCTTTGCTCACTCTTGAAACCTGCTGTGGAAGATGGGATACCCCTGGAACAAAGGGAGAGGAATATAGCAGGGTGGGAAGGGACAGAAGCTTCATTGCATAGGCAGAGGTTGATTTCTTAGCCTCAGATATAACCCAATGTGTGTCTTCATAGTTGTCTCGGCTGGTAACTCACCAGTAGGATTTACAAGAGATCTAACCAGTGGTGGGTTGCCCCCAGTTCGGACCGGTTCATAAGAACCGGTAGTAAAACTAGTGGGAGACTCTGCCCACTGACCCAGACGGCGTCATAGGTGATCTGCGCATGCACAGAAGCTTCTGCGCATGCGCAGAAGAGCGAGCAAAGCAAGCACACACGCACGGGCATGATACAAACTGCTAGTAAAGATAAGTAGAACCCACTCCTGGATCTAACTACATTGTCAAAGCTTACCGCATCTTACAAAGTGTCTGTAAACATATACATGTCTTCCAAGGAAAAATAAGGTTTCTCTCCTTTGGTGGGACTTTAAAAAATGCCTCTCTGACCGCCAACAAAATTTCTAGTACAGGTTTCCTGCGTCAGCAGGGGGTTGGACTAGATGACCTCCAAGGTCCCTTCCAACTCTGTTACTGTTATTTCTAGAAACTAAAAATGAAAAGAATGATTTGTTGGGAAAAGTTGATGGAGAGGGTACCAAGTATAATTTATTGATAAATTTTAATTACGATGTAAAATATTTGTAGCGTGATAACTTTAGTGGGATAATCTGAGGAAGTGTTAATGTGAAATGCGCGCATAAAGTTTATTCCACAATCATCTGGAATTGGTAGCTTCAATTTGGTTTGGAATAGAATCTTAAAAATCTTTGTCAGAAGCAATTTGCTAAAGTGGCTTACAAGGATGGGGAAATGTAGGCCTTTGGAGTTTATGAAGCCAATCAACTATAGAGTGTAGAGCAAAGAAGGGCATTTTAGAAGATCAACACCCTCTCCTAGTCTCCTCAGCTTTCCTTGTCTTCAAAAGGAAGCAAGAATTCTTCCATGACTTTTCCACTTTGGTGTTGGCAGTGGAACGGGTAGTCTCATTCTTTTGTAGAATGGCTATATTGAAGCCTTCTATCTGTGTGAAAAACTGGACTGGAAAAGCACAGAAACAGAGATTGTACTCCTCCATTCAGAATGACACTGCATCATTCCTTTCTTTCACTATGAAAAAAAAAAATCTAATTTTCATATGTATTTTAGTGAAGTATGAATGTTGTGATGATCCAATTTATCTCCCATATATTTATCAAAAGGACAATGTTAATAGTGCATTTATTTTCACAAGTGAAAATAAAGCAGAAATCATGCACAACAGGGAGAGAGCCATAGGTTCACAGAACCCCCTATACAGGGGTGGGTTCTAAATTTTTTCACTACCGGTTCTGTGGGCGTGGCTTATTTTATGGGCGTGGCTTGATGGTCATGTGACAATTCTTTAGGATTTAGCAGAGGTACTGGTCTACCAGGCTTTTAACTGCTTGCAGAGCTGTACCGGTCTACCCATTTATTTTTGCAGGCACTGATCTACTTATGTATTTTTGCAAGCACTGGTCTACCCATTTATTTTTGCAGGCACTGATCTACTCATGTATTTTTGCAGACACTGGTCTACCCATTTATTTTTGCAGGCACCGGTCTACTCATTTGTTTTCTTTTACCACTGATCAGCTGTAGGGTGGCCCTTTGAAGCCCCTCGGCAAGAGTTTAAACAGTTTTTTTCCCTCTAGCCATCAGCTAGGACTCAGGAGGCAGCAATAGATTGGGGGTGGGGCCAAATAAAAGGTAATAATGTGGGGGATGGGTGGGCGGGGGGCGGCAGAACTGGTTCAGTGACGTCATATTGTCACCACTACCGGCTCGGTGGAACCGGGCCGAACCGGGAGGAACCCACCACTGCCCCTATAGTAGAGGAATCTTTCCCAATGCTTTTGGGTAAGAGCTAAGCAAAATCCACTGAGTAATAATAACTGAGTAAGATCACTCATATTAGTCAAAATGAAATTTCAATGATCTAAAAAAATGCATATGTTTGAGTTTCAGGACTCAATTGAGAGATGCCCCTATCCCTAACCTAAAGTTATTTATCTGTTTACCTATTTACCTATTTACCTATTTACCTATTTACCTATCTATCTATCTATCTATCTATCTATCTATCTATCTATCTATCTATCTATCTCATTCATTCATTCATACATTCATTCAATTTCTAAAGCCATCCAGCTCAGTCAATGCCTCTAGATGGTTTGCTTTCTTGCATAACTACTCAAAATCTTTTGGAAGGAAAACCTAAGGACGCAATCAAGAAAAAGACAAGACTGAGTAAGAATCTGCATTTGGAAGGAGGGAATGAAAAATGCATGGTGTGAGGAAGACAGAAGGGTGCAGTATATTACAAAAAAGGGCCTGGATAGGATCCTTGAATGCTAGCACTGAATGTTATGCACTCCCAACTTACATCTTCTTTATAATTTCCTCTCCCAAGAAGGTAGGGTGCAAAGGGAGAAGGGCTGGTGGCAATGGAAGATTTGTTGGGAAGTCTGAAGAAAATATCTGGGCTACAAAAATCCAGACAACCCGTACATGGCAGCAAAGATGTTTTCTATCTGTTGTTACTGCTATCCAGTGTGCACCGTTTTGCAATCTCTATAACAGCAATCTCTGGCTGGGGAATTCTGGGAGTTGAAGTCCGCCAGGCTTAAAGTGGCCAAGGTTAGAGACCCTGCTCTATAGAGTAATCCTACTAGAAGTGAAGATTTAACCTAGTGAATACTCCAATCAGGTAGAAAAATAACTTAATCGATTAAGGGCTGTTGTTTTTGATGTCAGCAAATAATATTTATTCCCTCCCACTGTTGAAAGAAAGAAGGAAAGAAGGAAGCCCACCAACCAGTCATATAATTGTAGGTATAGTTAATTATTTGCTGGAAGGGGATTCTAATCTATTTGTATCATATGCTGGATTAAAATCCCTTCACACCCCGATTAAAGTGGGAATTTCGATCTAGCATATGATACAAATAGAGCATAATAGCAATCTGTAGACAATCTACAGATATCTCTCACCTGGCAATTCTAAAGTGAGGCAGCTCCTTCCTTCCCAAAACTCCACTTTGAATCTAAATCAAATGTAATCTGTGGCTGATTTTATACTAAGAAAACAATATCTTCAATTATAGAAAGGTAAAATCTTGTGAGTCTGTGCTCACAACTGAGCCTCTGGAGTCCCAACCCTTGGATCAGGCTGGAAAACTCTGCTAGAGGCCCTCATTTGACTATGTGATTTCCCCAAGAAGGGCCATGTGTGCTCCAGGATCCTCTGCAATCAATGGAATTAGAACTAGGCAAGGCATATTTGCAAATAACTCTCCAAACACATGATAAAGCATTTAACGGTCCCTGGCAAAGAAAATCTGGAGGGCAACTACTGTAACAAAGTGGACCTGACCATCAAATTCATGTGCAAAAAGTGTTGTAGACTAAACAAGAGCCAAAGGCATGGGAAGTATTACCAATTGCAATTTCTTGTAATTATCGTGTCATTTGTTTTCTCAAGGACACTGAAGGGGAAGCTGAAGAAACAGCAACTTCCTCTTTGATAAGATTTATGATAGTGATTTAAGTAATAAAATGA